CATCTAAGTTTTCTTAAGTTTTTTATTGCAAAAGTCTTTATTTTACCATTGATCTCAACTCTTATAGTTCTATTATTATTACATATAGATATAACCTTCCCACTATTACTACACATCTGCTCTAACTTTTGTTTTCTTGTTTTTTGATTAGTATTATGGTTGGAAGTAATTATGACCTCATCTCCTAGCTCAAAGGCTAATTTTTTTTGATGAATATTTTCTTGAATCACAAGCTTATTTTGATAAAGTTCATCATTTTTTGTGATTTCTCTCCTTACTTTTTCAACTTGCATCACATGAGTATTATAGATGGCAACTTAGCCATTTATGTTTGGCATATTCTCTGTTTCTGTGACCATATTATGTGTTACCTTCATGATTATTTTGCTCAGCATATCTGTTTCATTCAATATATCTTTCCTCTCTTCTCTTTCAATCAAGATACATATATCAATGCTTGCGGTATCATTATCCTTCTCTTCCAGCATAGTACCAACTTGTATTATTTTGCTCAGGATATTGCTGACTTTTATTTTTTCATCCAGTATATTATAGACTTCTCATATTTTAAATTCAAAAAATACTTTATATGGAGATTTTTTGTGATCTTTATTAAATGCTTTATTATACGTAATCACAAATGAGGGAAGGATATTAATCTATCAGTAGTCCTGAATCTTAAAGATTTTATTTCAAAGTATTTTTGTTAAATGGTAATCAAGCATTTGGTTAAATCTCTTGATTTTTTCTTGACTTTGTGGATGGCAAGCATGACCATGAACAAGTGTTATATTAAAGATATCACAAGTATATTTTAAGATGCTGATTATGAATTCTGAATCATTGTCTGCTTGAAGTATGGAGGGAGACCAAAACTCATGAAAACTTGCATCATTATATCATGAATTGTACTATTTTCTTTATTTAGAAAAGGAATAGTCCAAATATAGTATAAAAATATATCGATCATCAGAATATAACTATATTCATTATTATGTTTAGCAAAGAAGAAAAAATCAACCAAGTTAACCTGAACATGTTTGAGAGGACCATTGGCTATGATGGGTATTAGGTTGGCTTTTTCTTTAATACTGATATTTCAAATACAAGTCAGACAATTACTCACATATTGTTTGACTTCATCTTGTGTAATGTCAATGTACTGCTTATAAATTATTGCGTATATTTTGTGATAGTTAAAGTGGGTAGCTCTGATATAAAACCTTTTAAAAAGAACTGCTCTCAACTCTACGTCATAGGCAGAAATAACTCTTTTTATGATGGGCTGGAAATTTGTATCTTTTAGTTGTTGAATATAAAAAAGATAACCTTTCTGATGATTATACACAAAATTTTTACATCATCTTTGGAAATTCATTCTCTTTGTTGAGGTGTTAAACTTTATTGAAAAGATATTAGACTCGATATAGCTGATCACATCATTAAAATTCTCAAGTATTTCTGGAATTTTTGGTAACTTCATCATTTTAAGAGGAGGAGAAAAGGTGCATATTGATTTTTTTGTTTGTTGACATGTAAAAAATTATGTGTGACTAAAGATGGCTCCTCAACTAATTACGGCTTGCGGCAACTAATCAGAGAATTGCAACAGAGTTGCAGTAGCCAATCAGAGAATTGCGACAGAGTTGCGGCTAATTGCGGCTCCCATCTCTATGTGTGACATATTGTAATACAGTATAAGAGTATATTTTTATTCACATAACTTGATATTAACATCTTCCTAATCTAATATAACTGACAAAAACAGCTTGAAACTACCATAATGAGAAAAATAATACAAAAAACTGCATATTAAAATGACAATCAGAAGGATGAGACAATGAAAATCAATGATAAAACATATTAAGCTAATGTGATAAGATGGCAGAAAGACTTGATAACAAGAAGCATAATAAACTAGCTTGTGTATTTTTTGATACCAAAAAAAAGAAGATGGCTTACATATTTTTTGACATCAAAAAAAAGAAGACAACTTGCATATTCTTTGATATTGAAAAAAAGAAGACAGCGGAAAGACTCAAAGTCAGTCAAGAATTCATGAAGCAATCAAGAAAATAACTAATTAAATAAGAAACAATTTAATCCAAAATGCATAAATCAATCAAGAATTCATCTAGGCAAAATATTCAAACAAATAGGAAATGGCAGATAAAGAAAGAGAAAGGGTAAAGAAACCAAAAAAGTGACTAATCAAATAAGGAGTCATTAAAAATAATTTAATCCAAAGAATTACACAAACCAATCAAGAATCCATCTGGGCAAAACATCCAAATAAATAATGAAAAGAGAGAGAAATGAGAAATAAAGAAAGAGGAAGGGTAAGAAAAAAAATCACTTTTTTTCTCACTGAATTTGCTATTGTATTATTATTAGTTGCATGTGATATATGATTAATGATAAGTTGCATACTAGTACATAAATATTAAATCATATATTATGATGAAATAAAATCATGTGATGTGCACAAAATGATATATACAAAAAAAGATCCAGAATTCATTTTAATCTGAATTCATTTTAATCTGCCACAATTATTATAATAATTTAATATTATAAATTTTAATAATTTTTTAATTTTAAATATTATATTATTAATTATTTAATATATTATATATCTTTTTTTATATTTTATATTTATTAATAAAATAAGAATTAAAATATAAATATTATACTTGAAAAAATAAATTTAAATAATTAAAAAAAGATGTAACTATAAAAAGATTTTTTTACTTATAGTTAATTAATAATTAAAAAACTAAAAAAATAACTATAAAAAAATAATTATAAAGAGATATAATTATAAAAAGATCTGATTATATATTTTAATTTTATAAAATATTTATAATTAATAATAATTTTATAATATATTTTTAATATTAAGATATTTAGTTTAATTTTTTATATATTTATTATATAAAACTTATTTAATTTTTATTATTTTTATTACTTATTAAAATAGATCTGAATTTTATTTATTATATTTATATAATAAATTATTTTTAATAAAATATATTTTAATTATTATTATATTATTAATTTATCTAATAATTATTAAGAAAAGAAAAAATTATAAAATTTATAATAATTTTTTAAATTCATATTTTTTCTTATTATTAGAAATATAATATTAAATTTGAGATAATAAATTAACATTTAAAAAAAGAGTATCTTTTTTATATTTAATTATAAAATTATATTTATAAAGTTTTATTAATTATTATATTCTATCTTTTATATTATTTATTATTTAATTAAATTAATTTTTTTAATTTATTAATAAATTTTTATTTAAAATCTTTTATTTAATAAAAATTTACTTTTTGAATTAATTTATAAAATGATTAATCTAAAATTTTTTCCACTTTACTTAAAATAAGTAACTCTTTTTCTTATTAGTTTATTTAAAATCTATCAAAAATTTCTGAGAAAAAATTTAAAAAAGTATTATTTTTAATTTTTTTCTTTATTTTAATTAAAATTTTGAGTTCAATTAGTTAATATTCAAAGTTCATTTTAATAGTAAATTAAATAAGTTTATTAATATTTATAAATTAATTTTATCTAAATTATAAATCTTTATCTTATAAGAAAGTTCAAGATCTGATAGAAGAAAAATAACTATTTTATAATTATTTAAGAATTAACTCTAAAAATTAAATAATATAATTTTAATTTTCAAGAAATAAATATAAATATTTTTAATTTAATAAAAAAGTATTATTAATTATATAGTTTTAACAGATTTTAATTATAATTAGCTTATATTTTTTAAAATAAAATAATTTTTCTGAACTAATATATAAATTTTTATTTATTATTTAATTAGTATTTTTATTAATATAAAAAATAAAAAATATATATTAATATTATATATAATTATAAAAATAATATATTAGAAGTTAAATTTATTAATAAAATATAATAAAAATTTTCTTTATATTAGATTTTATAATAAATATTTTTTATTTTTATATTAAATTAAAATTTATAATTTATAATTTAATATATATTTTTTTCAATTTTTTCTAAAAGAGTTATTCTAATTTTAAAGTTATTACAAAATTTTTTTTCAATTAAAAATGAAATTTAATTACTATATATAAGTAATTTTCAAATATAAGTAATTACCTCTTTTTAAAATCTAAGATTCTGAAAATATTATATATAAAATATAATAAATTTATACTTAAATATAAGCAACCCTCTCTCTTTGTCCTGCCAAAATCTTGCATTTTTTGGTTGCTTGTATTTGGAAACATATGATAGTAAAAATTTTTGCAATTAGAATAACTCTAAGATTATAAACTTTAAATATAAAAATAAAAAATATTTATTAATAAAATTATAAAGTTTAATATAAAAAAAATTCAATTATTATTATATTTTATTAATAAATTTTGACTTCTAATACATTATATTTAACTATATTAATAAAATAATAAAATCATGTATTTTTTAATATAATTTTTAAAAAAATAGAAATTTTTTAAATATTTAATTAATTTAAATAATTATTAATTTAATAATATAGTTATTATAATTATAGCATCTTGTTTTTTGAAATATTTAAATTTTGCCTGCAATTTTGCACAAGTAGAAACAAGTGTGATTATTTAATAAAATATTTACTAAAAGGATTAAACCAAAATTTTTATAATATAATTTTGAGATATATGTTGCAAGCACACGGTAGATCATGTTTTATCACATAATACATTTTATTGAGATTTAATTTGTAATTGTCGTACAAGGCCCTTTTTTTATTGATCATCAAAGTGAGTGGCGCCACATCGTTAGTAAAAATGATACTGCTTATAATAGTGCAGCGCTCGTTAAAGAAAAAAATCATATCATAGTTTATAAATAAAAAAGAGAAGCGGTTCCCTCAAATGAGATCAAAAAAAAACTGTCACCAATTACAGGTACTTAAATAAAAATTCTAATAGATTGTTAACGCTTAGTAGTCATTTGCTTTAATATCAACAAGTCCGTAACCGCCGCATCACCTGAAAAACTTCATACTCCTCAACCGAAAAGCGATCCAAATTCGTAATCGGCTTCTCGTATGATTGAATATTCGATGAACACGCCAAATCCATATCGAAATCACCTCTCGCCCCACCCATAACCAAATCCCCACTTCCGAAGCAAGCACCAATCATCTGCGAACATAAAACAGCACGACTTGGATCAACTACACGACTCAACACTGATTTATGCAAAGCGATACCATCATCAAACGAGAAAATAAAACAGTATCGTGAATTCACCCACATATTTCTCGATGACCATCCAATCGGATTGTAACCTCCAATTAATCGTCCACTTTCACGTATTTTCATTATTACTATCGTGGCGTCTTTGTTGTCACATTTATTGTGAAATGCGCTTGTTGAGAAACCGTCACGCGTTCCGCGTAACAAAAGTTTTAATTGGTATGGTATGTTACGAAAATCATGGACAATGTTTCCGTCATTGAATGGATTATCATCTTTTCGACTTATCCAAGTAGCCAGAATTCCTAAATGTCTTGTGTTTATTAGTACAGAATTAATTGATGCATTACGTGGAGTCATTTGTGGTGAAATTGTCATAGCAGGTGGTGTTGGTTTAGAATCCAAGCTCTTTAGAGAAAACTCTTTTTCAAGTGCCGTGTACAATTTTAGTGGAAGAATTTGTTTGTACGGTTTCACTAGTCGTCTCCACTGAGTTGAACTAAATTGTGAAAACCTAATAAATGGAATTAAATTTCGCAATTTCGTCTCAAGTATCTTGAAATGTTCATCCGTCCAAATCGCAGGGTCAGAATACGAAATTCCAGAATGTGAAATTCCCCATTCTAACAAATAGACCCATAAATCAGCTTCATTCATCTCCAAATCACTACGATTCAATAACGCCGCGAGAATATTCTCATTTAAAAAACTTATGTAATCTATATTGAGACATTGCACAGGATCTTTACACAACAAATCCAAGCAATATTTTTGTAATAGCTTGAAATTTTCATACTGGAATGCGGTCGTCATGACAATTATAAAATTTTCGAGAATCCATTTCGAACGAAATGCGATTAAATGTTCTTGTATGTAGTCAAAAAGATCAGTTAGAAATAATTCATCTACTGCTATTAGTAGATCATGTATTGTGTAGTCTTCATGATCGTTTAATGAGACAATTCCAGTATAAATATATCTTTTGAAATAATAACAAAGTGTAAATAACTTAAGAATAAAGTTAACCCTTTAATAGAATGACACTATACCTTAATATTATGGAAAAAACACTCGGTGAAATATTCGGTTTCTTAAAGTAAATCATTCCATTTTCCGGCAAACATTTTGACCATTTTGTCGACAACGCGATGCGAAAATACGAACATCTCGCTTTTAAGATATTATCATGTGCTTTAAACGTTTTTACATTTGGTTCTTCGCCCACTTCAATTATAACATTATAGTCGTCAGCTTCTTCGAGCATTTGACCAAAATCCCGGCACAATATCGTTAAATATTTTGAAGACATTGTATTTTCGTCAAAAGTTGATGTGAATGGTAATTTTATTGAGTAAACCAATAATCAAATTAAATTGTCAAAAAGAAGAAAAACAGGAAATGACATGCATCAAGTCAGGTGAATTATTAAAAATAACTTTTTCACTAACGCTCATATTATGTATTGATTGATTTGAAAGTGGTACAAAAAGGTTGTGTAATATTAATATTTAATACCATACAGTACTTGTATTTTAAGAGGTATCGATATTTTGTCTAAACTCTAAATATTCAAATTAATATTTATAGTAAATTCAGGATCTTTATATCGATATCGATATATCGGGAAACAGATGGAAATATCGCACATGTGCATGTATATTAAAACTCCATCGGGGCTCTACCAATACCGTTGAAAATTTTTGCCTATCATCAAAGCAACGAAACTTTCTTTTCTATGTATTTATCTGCACACCAGGCAACTAAGAACTTTGGTACCCCGTAATTTTTTCTTCTATCAGATCATCGGTAAGAACATTTTAACTGATACTCTTTGTTTTACAATTCAATTCTAATTATTTACATGTATTTAGTCGAAAACAATATAAAAAGGAACCCACCCACAACGACAATATCCATAATATACATTTAACCATTCTTTTGATATACCCCATTCCTTTCATCACACTCTTTCCTGAGCAACACCACCACCACCACCACCAACGTCAGCGCTAAATAAAAAGAAGACCTTAAGACCCTATTGGAACACACAAACAGAGGAATTGTCTCGGAGGCTGTGGTTACCACCAAGACCAACTTTGTCGTTTCGCCTCCGACCTCCTCCAACACATATATTCTCCCTCCGTTCTGCAAAACTCGTGGTTCTCTTCAACGAATCGACCTCCGACAACACTATCTTCATCTGTCGTATGCAGGGAGGACGAGCTGCCTCGTTATCGACGAGAGCGCCACGGGCAAAAAACGCAAAGCAACACCAAAGGCAACGACAGCACGCAACAAGCGACAGCGCACAGAAGACACACTCAATCGCACGCTGAAGGACAAGGTTTATCCAAATCACCCTCAGAAGCTCCTTAAGTGATGGTTGGATTTGCATTTAATACCGTCATCAACTGGAATCGTCGTCGTCGATTTTACAGCAAGAATTGTGGACCAAACGGGAAAAATACCAACTTTATAATGACATGAGATCCGGGAAGACGGGCAGTCTAGGGTGAGCGCAAGTTTTGCAGAATGGTCGTTCGCATTGAAATGCTGCTTCGAGGTTGTTTCAGACAAGCACCCGCCAACATTACTGATGAAGCCATTGACGAGGCATTAATAGCAAGAAACGAGAATAACAAGCGCAACATGCAGCGTGCGCCAGGAATTCCAGCACATCGTCTATCCTTTCGAACTCGCAAGGATAGAGATCAGGCCATTGTCATCCTTGCTCAGAATTTGCAAAGGATCCCTGGAATCGCTTTACGTCGCATCTCTACATACTCGTGATATGTTGTCATACCACCAATGTCACAATCCTCTCGTTTCAACTCACGAAGACCAACGTACGCTCTGGCCTTTTCATTTCGAGAAGAATCACAAGAACAACAAATGGCCATTACCGCACAAAAGTACGAGTGATTGCAAGCTAACATATTCATGGAAGATCAATGATTGGATGTTTTCCTGGCTTTTCGAGACGCGAAAACGGTTCCGCGAAACCCAAGCGGATGGCTCGATCCACGTAGTTTCCATCGATCCCGGCATTCGTACACCCTTCACGTAGGTTAGAGGAAACGACATCAGTCGTATTGTTCGCATCTGCAAGTATATGGATGATCTTATTTCGAAAAAAGATCATCTAGCTGCTACCTCAAAACGAAGAAGAGACTTGAGACAGTAATTTTTCGGATGCGACGAAAAATTAAACACCTGCAAAGCGAAATTCACCGGAAGTCCGTTGCATTTTTTACTCACGAATTCGATGCTATTCTCATCTAACCTTTTGAAGCTTCGAACATGATAAATCGCAAAACTAGAAAGATAACACGTCTTAGTGCGTAGAAAGATAACACGCCCTACAGTGCGCAAAATGCTCTGTTGGGCACATTATCGTTTCCGCCAACATCTGATCGCCAAGGCCGAGGAATTAGGAGTCCGAGTTATAATTCAAAATGAGGCATATACCTCAAAGACTTGCAGCTGGTGTGGCAATATCCAGAGGATCCGAAGTGTATAAATGCCGAAATTGTGGGACCGTAATGGATCGAGATGACAATGGTGCTCGGGGAATTTTTCTCCGGGCTTTGCTTGATGGAGCCTTGATTCTTTCCGGAGATCATGCAGGAAATAATAATACATATACTTAGTATTACCTATTAAACATCCAGTTACTGTAATAAAAGAAACGATCATAATCATCGATTCGTCAAAACAAAAATTACTTGACGAAACGTTTTGTCATGCACGAATTTTGGCGCAGCGATTATTAATTCTGGATAGAATTACATGTATATGTTTCAAATTCCTTCTCCGCTGGGAAAATACCGGAACTTTGCTTACGTTGAATTAACGTGAATATATTTTTATTGTGTCCTAGACCGTTGCGTGATTTTCGAACATTCCAGAATAAAACACACATTTTGTATTATTAATTGTTTAACTTGCATCTCTGCGTTTTATACTAAATATAAGGAAAAATAGGTTTACAAATACTGTATTGTATATTTAAGAAACAAAATACAATCTGGATCAAAGCAAGATTGCCTATCTAAGTGACAAAAAAGATTCAAGAGCAGTTGAAACGTAGCGATGATGGGCTGCTTCCAGAAAGGTTACTATCATTGAAATATCTGGAGAAAAATAACTCTACTCAAATATGAATATACTGTATATAGAGCCTTTGAAAGTGATTAGCAATTCATGTAAATGTCAAAGTTTGCTATGCCAGAGTCAGTTCAGAATATTAATAAGATAATCTTGAATAACAAATTGCAAATATCTGATAATGTTATTCAGAATATGAAATTATCAGTAATATCAGTTCAGAACTTAACTGAAAGCAGAGAGTTTGTTTCTCTTTTGAAATAAATATATTTTAATAAAATCAAAAAGATAATAGTTATCTAAAAAAAACTGCTTGTATTGCTTTAAATCTGAACTTGTGAAGTGAATACTTGAAAAAAGCTAAATATGCTTATGATTCTTAATTTAAATATTTATATCAATGATAATCAGAAAACTTGCAAAAGACTTACTTGCAATTATTATAGTATTTATAATATAATATAATAGATTATATTCTGTTGTAAATCACAAAAAAAGATGTCATCCAAGAAAAAAGAAATAAGAAATTTTTCAACAGATAAAATATAATATATTTATCTTTTTCTTACTTAGAAAAAGTATATAAAACTTAGATAATTAATAGAAATAGCATAATAAATATATAATTATCATAATTAAAAAAGAAGATATCAATTTAAGAATATAATATCTCAATATTATAAATTTTAATCATATTAAACTTAAATAGATTCTTGAGATTTCTTATAATATATAGATAAATTATAAATAATTTACTTAAAGAATATTCTTTTAACTTTATAAAAAAATTTAAGCTAAAGTTTTATTCTAAAAAGAATTCTCAATAGTCATTATAATACTTTTCAAATATTTTTATAATAAATATATATTTCTTTATAAACTTAAATTAATAAAATCTCTTTCAAGTCAACTTAAATATAATAATTATAAATTAACTTGATAAATTTTATTTTTTTATATTTATTACTTGAAATATAAATTAAAAATTAAAAATCTTTATTTAATTTTTTATATTTTATATTTTATGTTAATATATTATAATAATAATATTTAAGTATGGTCCAGTGCAAAAATGTAGATACACGAATATACTATATATAAATTTTTTTTAAAAGTAAAATATTTATAATTT